CCAATATTTCTATCCTGCCCTTCAAGACCCCTGAGGGGGGACTCTGGGCAACTTACAAATCAGCCACAATTCAAAGTCTCAATATAATACAGATATAAACACAAATAGCAAAAGTTTAAAACAGTAAATAAAACATTAAGATAAAAACACATTAAAAACATTGTCACAGTTCAAAAGCATCTATCTTCCTTCGCTCAGCCTTCCCTAAGGTCCAGCTCTCACATCCGCAGGTTACTACAGGGAATACCATGGCTTTGACTATGCGGATCTTTGTTGCCAGTGTGATGTCTCTACTCTTTACTATTTTATCGAGATTGGACATTGCTCTCCTCCCAAGAAGTAAGCGTCTTCTGATTTCCTGGCCACAGTCTGCATCTGCAGTCATCTTTGCACCTAGAAATACAAAGTCTGTCACGGCCTCCACGTTTTCTCCCTCTATTTTCCAGTTGTCAATCATTCTTGTTGCCATAATCTTGGTTTTTTTGACGTTTAGCTGCAACCCGGCTTTTGCGCTTTCTTCTTTCACCTTGATTAGAAGGCTCCTCAGCTCCTCCTCGCTTTCGGCCATCAGAGTGGTGTCATCTGCATATATGAGGTTGTTAATGTTTCTTCCAGCAATTTTCACCCCAGCTTTGCATTCATCCAGCCCCGCACATCGCATGATGTGTTCTGCATACAAGTTAAAAAGGTTGGGTGAGAGTATGCAACCTTGCTGTACGCCTTTCCCAATCTTGAACCAGTCTGTTGTTCCGTGGTCAGTTCTGACTGTTGCTACTTGGTCCTTGTACAGATTCCTCAGGAGAGAGACAAGGTGGCTTGGGATGCCCATCCCACCAAGAACTTGCCACGATTTATTATGATCCACACAGTCAAAGGCTTTAGAATAGTCAATGAAGCAGAAGTAGATGTTGGGGAGATGGTGGCAGGGTAAAAGAAGATTTAGGCCCCAGCACGCCCCTCCGACCTACCTCCTTCCTTCTCCTTCTCTCCAAAGGCTTCCTCTTCCTGCCCCAGAAAGACCCTCCTCGCCCCGCCTCCGGAAGTGACATCAAGTAGGAGGTGGAGTCCAACGCCTAGGAGCCATGAGGACCCGCCTCCTTACTGGCTCACTCACCCTCCCTCCCTCCCTCCCTGAAAAGACTCAGAGGCAGGAAGACACAGCCCAAGCCCTCCCGACAGATGGCCGTCCAGACTGTTAAAAAGCAGCAGCCTAAGATTTTTCACATGTGTTGCTTTGCATTTATACAACGCAGGAGAGGAACAAGGAAAGGAAAGGAAAGGAAAGGAAAGGAAAGGAAAGGAAAAGGGGAAGAGTAAAGGAGAAAGGAAAGGAGCAAGGACAATATATTGACAAGCTGGAATGTGTTCAGAGGAGGGCGACTAAAATGATCAAGGGTCTGGAGAACAAGCCCTATGAGGAGCGGCTTAAGGAGCTGGGCATGTTTAGCCTGAAGAAGAGAAGGCTGAGAGGAGATATGATAGCATGTATAAATATGTGAGAGGAGGGAGCAAGCTTGTTTTCTGCTTCCTGGAGACTAGGACGCGGAACAATGGCTTCAAACTACAAGAGAGGAGATTCCATCTGAACATGAGGAAGAACTTCCTGACTGTGAGAGCCGTTCAGCAGTGGAACTCTCTGCCCCGGAGTGTGGTGGAGGCTCCTTCTTTGGAAGCTTTTAAACAGGGGTGGGATGGCCATCTGTCAGGGGTGATTTGAATGCAATATTCCTGCTTCTTGGCAGGGGGTTGGACTGGATGGCCCAGAGGTCTCTTCCAACTCTTTGATTCTATGATTCCCCTTCGGGGTGAGAAGGATGAAATATAAATGCTGTATATAATAATAAATAGTAATCTGCACTGGATTGGATAGCGAATCATAGAATCTAGAGTTGGAAGAGACCTCGGGCCATCCAGTCCAACCCCATTCGGACAAGAAGCAGGAAAATTCAATTCAAAGCACCCCAACAGATGGCCATCCAGCCTCTGTTTAAAAGCCTCCAAAGAAGGAGCCTCCACCACACTCCGGGGCAGAGAGTTCCACTGCTGAACAGCTCTCACAGTCAGGAAGTTCTTCCACATGTTTGGATGGAATCTCCTCCATAAGACAAAAATAACATAGCAATATAAACATCAAAACAAAGGGCATTTGAAAGAAAAAAGGATTTGGTCCTACCTTCATCCATCCAGATAGCTGGGTTGTGAGTTTTCTGGGCTCTATGGCCATGTTCCAGAAGCAGTCTCTCCTGACGTTTCACCCACATCTATGGCAGCCACCTTCAGAGGTTGTGAGGTCTGTTGGAAACTAGGAAAATGGGGTTTATATATCTGTGGAATGTCCAGGTGGGAGAAAGAACTCTTTGTCTTTTTGAAGCAAGTGTGAATGTTGCAATTGGTTGTCTTGATTGGCGTTTAATGGCCTTGCAGTTTCAAGGTCTGGCTTCTTACTGCCTGGGGGAACCAAAAGCCATTGAAATCCACAAGCAAGTGGACAATTTCAACAGAAAGGAAGAAACCATGAAAATGAACAAAATCTGGCTATCAGTATTTTTTTTAAAAAAACTCTAAAATCATATATAGGAATTAAAGAGCAACACTACAAAAAAGAAAGTGACAAATGCAAGGTACTCAATTTAGGCAAAAAAAAAATGAAATGCAAAGATACAGAATGGGGGACAATGCCTGGCTCGAGAGCAGTACGTGTGAAAAAGATCTTGGAGTCCTCGTGGACAACAAGTTAAACATGAGCCAACAATGTGATGCGGCGGCAAAAAAAGCCAATGGGATTTTGGCCTGCATCAAAAGGAGCATAGTGTCTAGATCTAGGGAAGTCATGCTACCCCTCTATTCCGCTTTGGTTAGACCACACCTGGAATATTGTGTCCAATTCTGGGCACCACAATTCAAGAGAGATATTGACAAGCTGGAATGTGTACAGAGGAGGGTGACTAAAATGATCAAGGGTCTGGAGAACAAGCCCTATGAGGAGCGGCTTAAGGAGCTGGGCATGTTTAGCCTGAAGAAGAGAAGGCTGAGAGGAGATATGATAGCCATGTATAAATATGTGAGAGGAAGCCACAGGGAGGAGGGAGTGAACTTGTTTTCTGCTTCCCTGGAGACTAGGACGCGGAACAATGTCTACAAACTACAAGAAAGGAGATTCCATCTGAACATGAGGAAGAACTTCCTGACTGTGAGGACCGTTCAGCAGTGGAACTCTCTGCCCCGGAGTGTGGTGGAGGCTCCTTCTTTGGAAGCTTTTAAACAGAGGCTGGATGGCCATCTGTCAAGGGTGATTTGAATGCAATATTCCTGCTTCTTGGCAGAATGGGGTTGGACTGGATGATGGCCCATGAGGTCTCTTCCAACTCTTTGATTCTATGATTCTATGAATCCCAACTGTCCCTTGCAGCTCTTTTGGAAACCTGGCAGCCCAATGAGGAGGGAGGGCACCTGATATAGAGTCCTCCAAAGCACCTGCGAGCCCACCCTGGTTCCTAGAGAGGCAGGGCATTGTTTTGCCCAGTAAGTCCTTGGAGAGAACAATCCAAAGAGCATGGATTCCGCTTCCGCTTTTCTCTTTGGCCAGGCGGGAAGGCAGAAAGCAGGGAAAGAGGAGCCACGAGGAGGTAGGGATGCCATGCTGGGGCTGCAATATTGACCTGATGGAGAGCTTTCTTGGTGCAATCCTCAGGGAACAGGCTGCAATGTTGGGTGCAAGATTGGAATGAAGGAAAACTTTTGGCCTTGAGTTTGGAGATTTCTTCCCTGTATGTTCCTTTCTTCCTGCCCTTTGTTCCTATCATTGTCTTATTTAAAAATGTTAGACCTAAAATAGTGATAAGCCCTTTTTATGTTTCAATACCCCAAAACTGTATAACATGGGAAATATATCAGGATTTATGCTGTCAGAATCAATTGATCAAGTCACATTAGAAGAATAAATTGCAGGTGATAAACCCTGATGGCCTAGCAAAATTTCCTAATCATGTAATTATTTATAATTTGCAAATATTAACCACCTAGTCTATTAATCCTACATTATTATACAATGCTCAATAGAATCATAGAGTTGGAAGAGACCTCGTGGGCCATCCAGTCCAACCCCATTCTGCCAAGAAGCAGGAATATTGCATTCAAAGCACCCCCGACAGATGGCCATCCAGCCTCTGTTTAAAAGCTTCCAAAGAAGGAGCCTCCACCACACTCCAGGGCAGAGAGTTCCACTGCTGAACGGCTCTCACAGTCAGGAAGTTCTTCCTCATGTTCAGATGGAATCTCCTTTCTTGTAGTTTGAAGCCATTGTTCCATGCCTCCTAGTCTCCAGGGCAGCAGAAAACAAGCTTGCTCCCTCCTCCTATGACTTCCTCTCACGTATTTATACATGGCTATCATGTCTCCTCTCAGCCTTCTCTTCTTCAGGCTAAACATGCCCAGCTCTTTAAGCCGTTCCTCATAGGGCTTGTTCTCCAGACCCTTGATCATTTGAGTCGCCCTCCTCTGGAAAAATTCCAGTTTGTTAATATCTCTCTTGAATTGTGGTGCCCAGAATTGGACACAGTATTCCAAGTATGGTCACAGAGCATTCTGAACCCCACCAATGATAGAATTGGGCCAAACCTCCCACACAGAACCCCCATGAGGGCCACAGCAACACGTGGCAGGGGACGGGTAGTTTAATAATAGATTTTTATTTCTCCCCAACCAGTTAATGGGAAAGAACTCTTAAATACCTACCTGTGAATCCATTGGGAGGAAGAGAACTTCCATTTCTCTGATTTCCATGAATGTCTGATCCAAGAAGGTGGAAAAAGCAGAAAGTGTTCACTGTGTGGGGAAACCCTCAACCATCTTTCAAGCATTTTGGGGCAGTGCAGAATCAGCAGAGAGGAAGAACCATAGAAATCAACGGAGTTTGAAAACAATCAGTCAAACTCTTTCCTTATGCGAGAGAACCCTCACAGGGGATAAATTAATTGCAATAATAGAGAACATCTTACTAGGCACCAAATGATGCAAACAGGGGAGAAACCATATCAGTGCACAGAATGTGGGAAGAGTTTCAGTGTAAGAGGAAAACTCATAATTCACCAAAGAATTCACAGTGGAGAGAAACCATATCAATGCCTGGAGTGTGGAAAGAGTTTCCGTGTTGCTGGAAGTCTGACAATACATCAACGACTTCATACAGGTGAAAAGCCTTATAAATGCCTGGAATGTGGAAAGAGTTTCCGTTACAGCAGTAACTTTCGTTCACATCAAAGACTCCACACAGGGGAGAAACCATATAAGTGCCTCGAGTGTGGAGAGAGCTTCCATAGGCGTGAAAGTTTTGCTGACCACCGAAGTATCCATACAGGGAAAAAACCATTTAACTGTGAGGTGTGTGGAAAGAGATTCTGTTTAGGTATTATCCTTTCTGCACACCGAAGAGTCCACACAGGGGAGAAACCACATAAATGTATAGAATGTGGAAAGAGCTTCGGTTCGAGTCAAGAGGTCACTGTACATCGAAGACTCCACACAGGAGAGAAACCATATAAATGCCTGGAGTGTGGAAGGACCTTCTGGGAATCTGGGAAACTAACTGTCCACAAAAGAACTCACACAGGAGAGAGACCATATAACTGCCCGGAGTGTGGAAAGAGCTTCCACCAAAAGCCGCACCTTACTGCACACCTAAGATTCCACACAGGGGAGAAGCCATACAAATGCCATGAATGTGGAGAGAGCTTCAGCCGTAGTGATAGTCTCCGTATTCATCAAAGAAACCACACAGGGGAGAAACCGTATAAATGCATGGAGTGTGGAAAGAACTTCCGCTTAAGTACTAGCCTTTCCTCACACCTAAGAATCCACACTGGTGAGAAACCATATAAGTGCACCACCTGCGGGAAAAGCTTCACTCAACATTCACACCTTTCCATCCACCGGAGAAGCCACACAGGAGAGAGACCATATCAATGCACGGAGTGCGGAAAGCGTTTCAGCTATAAAGATAGCTTTACTCGTCATCAGAAGATGCATGCGTGAGGAAAACATCCAAATGTATAGAGTGAGCAAAGACCTCCAGTGAAAAGAGGAAATTATGCTTCAAAAACTGGTGTAGGGCTTGTTCCAAGTTCTCATCAGAATTTTCTTAATTGGGTGTTTATTAAAGTTTGGGTCTTTTGGCCCTGGAAACTTACCATGCATCAAAAAACCGATGTAGAGTGCCCAGATCTATAGCTTTCTGGCAAAATAATTACCTCCAAAAATTGGAAAGATTTAATTCAAAAGCATGCAGTAGGGAACCCAACAAAGCATGCAGTAGGGAACACAACAAAGTTCCAACTGACAGTATATTTCCCTCACGCCTCACCCTGGCCCCTCCCCTGCATTGCTCCCGTTTCCATGGCAACCTTCTCCCCAATTTCAAATATATACCAGAAAGGTCTATATTATGGCCTTATTTCCTGGCTTCACACCAAACCAGGAAATAAGGTCATGACATAGAGCTTGCTTCAAGTTCTCATCAGAATTTGGGTGTTTATTAAAGTTTGGCTCTTCTACCACTTTTTCATAAATTAAGTATGTATGCAAGCCAAATTTTAAATCAGCTCTTTCAAAAATTATCAGGCTTTGATTATCGAGATGCATCCATGCTTTAAATTATTTCAGCATAGCTGCTTCAAAGGGCTGTTGAATAGATGGAAAATTCATGGGTGTAGAAAGCCAACTATAATTCTTTTATGTAGCAACTGGTGCTCTTTAATTTTTACCCAGTTTGGATTCCCAGATGTCATTGAACAACAACTCCCATCAGTTTTGATTATCCACTTTGTGGACTCAGAATAATGGGAATTGTTACCCAATAGCATGGAGCCCCCGGTGGCGCAGTGGGTTAAAGCGCTGAGCTGCTGAGCTTGTTGACCAAAAGGTCGCAGGTTCGAATCCGGGGAGCAGCATGAGCTTCCGCTGTTAGTCCCAGCTTCTGCCAACCTCGCAGTTCGAAAACATGCAAATGTGAGTAGATCAATAGGTACCGCTCCGGCGGGAAGGTAACGGCGCTACATGCAGTCATGCCGGCCACATGACCTTGGAGGTGTCTACGGACAACGCTGGCTCTTCGGCTTAGAAATGAAGATGAGCACCAACCCCCAGAGTCGGACACGACTGGACTTCATGTTTACCTACCCAATAACACTTGTGACTCTGAGGTTGGAGAAAAGGTTAAATGCCATTTTAACATCAGACATACCCACACACCTTGTTTCTAAATTCAAACCCCACTATTCTGATTAAATAGAGCAAACTGAAGATTTCAGCTCCAGGAATGAAACCATATATTCCTCTTAATGGAACCAACGATTCTTAGAGCCGCCAATGCCAATCTCCTAGGAGCTGCCATAGAGTCAGAAATGTCACCCCTACAGGTATGGGATTTTTACTGTATAGTTCTTTTTTTTTAAATTGCTTTCTGAATGTTGATTCTTACAGTGTGAATTAGTTTATCTGTATTAAAACATCCATGAATATCAAATATTTTTAAAAGACAGAGAGAGACATTCTCTGTAATCCGGTTTGTGGTATTTCTATTCGGTTTTAAGAATCTTTGTTTTGCCATTTTAAGCATGCTTGCCTCTAGAAAACTTATATACAAGATTAACCCAAAAATAAAGGAAGTAGTAAGAATTTCTAGAAAGATGGCTTTCAATTATTCCTATCTTTGGATGTTCTATTTTTGTGATGTTTAATTTGTATATTACATGTTAGATATTTCATATTTTGCTTTAGAATACAATATCTAGTGCCATATATTCAGAACATTTGTTACTACAGTCGAACCCCCAGTGGCACAGTGGGTTAAACCCTTGTGCTGGCAGGACTCCTGACTGACAGGTCAGAGGTTTGGATCTGGGGAGAGTGGGTTGAGCTCCCTCTGTCAGCTCCAGCTCCCCATGCGGGGACATGAGATAAGCCTCCCACAAGGATGGTAAAACATCAAAAACGTCCAGGTATCCCCTAGGCAACGTCCTTGCAGATGGTCAATTCTCTCACACCAGAAGTGACTTGCAATTTCTCAAGTTACACACACACAAAAACCTATGGTAGCAGGAATGAAAATATGGCCCCATCTAGGCTGCCATATGATGCAGTTTATTTATCGTATCAGAAGCAAACCAAGGGTACAGCTGTAATGTATTTTTTAAAACACAATAATACAGTTTAATTGCCTTGAACTACATTATATGAGCCTGCACTGACCATATAATGCAGTTCGAAACTGCATTCTGTGGCAGCCTAAATTGGGCCATAGTTAAAGATCTGATGTTGATTTACATTCACTTAATGGTTCTTGGATTTTGTTCTCTTTTTAATTTGGTTTGTAATGCTAATTTAGTGTTTCTTCTTTCTTTATAGTCTAGTCACATTATAACTGTTTCTATTGTCACAATGTATTAATTACTTCATTTTTTTAATAACATTCATCTGTATTCAATGTTTTGTAAACATCTACTCCTTTTTGCTACCAACTTTTATAACTTTCCAATAAATTTTAATTTCTTGATATGTGCATTGTAATTTACAGTAATTTCAGGTGGGAATCTTCCACTGGAAATCTGTGGTTGAAAGTTATCAATTTTCAAGTCCAAAAATGACAGTAACGAAGTAGGAAAAAAAAAACCCCTGAAGTTGTAGAATGGTCTTTATTGTAGACTAATCTCAAGTTGTATTCCTTCTCCAGGAGAATGTCAGCAATGAAGAACAGGTCACATTCTAAAAAACTCGTACAAAAGAGCTAATGTGAGTGCATTAATAATAATAGTAATAATATTAATATCATCCCCTTCAGGGTGCCATTACTGCTCAAGCACTGAGGTTTGAGATGGTAGAACAGAAGCTCTCCGAAGCTCTAGGTGCTCTTACTGACTATTACAGGGAAAACCAGCAGGTCCCTAATCCATCTAAAACACAGACATGTGCTTTTCATTTCAAGAACAGACAAGTACCCCAAGCTCTGAGGATCACCTGGGAAGAAATCCCACTGGAGCATTGCAGTGCACCCAAATACCTGGGAGTCATTATTATTATTATTATTATTAACTTTATTTGTACCCCGCTAGCATCGCCCGAAGGATTCGATGCGGCTTACAGCAGGCCGAAGCCCAAAACAATACAACAATACAATACATAGCAAATAAAACAGTCAAGCAGAAACAATAACAATAGCAACACGACAAAACATGATTAAAAACTGAGTCGGCCAAGTAGGGTACAAGGTTAAAAGTGCTGATGTGTCGGAGGGATGTGGGATTATAATGAGAGTGCGGTGTGCAGTATGCGGTGGTCTTAGAACTAAAGTGCTTCTGGGATTTGGGCCTGGGGAATTCCTAATCTGAGAAGGCACATTGGAACAGCCAGGTTTTCAAGTTCTTTCTGAAAGCTGCCAGAGTAGGGGCTTTTCTGAGGTCTTTCGGGAGGGAGTTCCAGAGGCGAGGGGCCACCACGGAGAAGGCCCTGTCTCGCGTCCCCACCAAGTGCGCTTGCGACGCGGGCGGGATCACAAGCAGGGCCTCTCCAGATGACCGGAGTGAGCGTGTGGGTTCGTAGACAGCGATGCGGTCACGCAGGTAGGGTGGTCCCAAACCGTTCAGGGCTTTGTAGGTAGCACCTGCACCTTAAATTGGGCCCGGAAAATAAACGGCAGCCAGTGGAGCTCCTTAAACAGGAGGGTTGACCTCTCTCTGTAATGGGCCCCCGTTAACATCCTGGCTGCTGCCCGTTGGACTAATTGGAATTTCCGAGCCGTTTTCAAGGGCAGCCCCACGTAGAGCGCATTGCAGTAATCCAGTCTAGAGGTGACTAAGGCATGGACCACCCCGAGGTACGGGCATAGCTGGCGCACGAGTCTCAGTTGTGCAAAAGCCCTCCCAGCCACTGCTGACGCCTGAGCCTCAAGCGTGAGCGCTGAGTCTAGGAGGACTCCCAAGCTACGAACCTGTGGCTTCAGGGGGAGTGTAACCCCGTCCAACACAGGTTGCCACCCTATACCCCGGTCTGGCTTACAATCAACCAAGAGGACCTCTGTCTTATCGGGATTGATCTTCAGCTTGTTCGTCCTCATCCAGACAGACACAGCGGCCAGGCACTCGTCTAGCACCCGAGAAGCCTCCTTGGAATTAGGTGGAAAAGAGTAATAGAATTGTGTGTCATCTGCATAGAGATGGCACCCAACTCCAAAACTCCGGATGACCTCTCCCAGCGGTTTCATGTAGATGTTAAAAAGCATAGGAGATAAGATAGAACCTTGCGGGACCCCACAGGTCAAAGGCCAGGGGTCCGAGCAGGTGTCTCCCAGCTTCACCATCTGGGTTCGTCCCTCCAGGAAGGATCGGAGCCACGACAAAACCGTGCCCCCGAGACCCATCCCAGAGAGGCGACCCAGAAGGATACCATGATCGATGGTATCGAAAGCCGCTGAGATGTCCAAAAGGACTAGCAGGGTCACACTCCCCCTGTCCAGTCCTCTACGGAGGTCATCCACCAAGGCGACCAAGGCTGTCTCGGTGCCATGACCCGGTCTGAAGCCAGACTGTGCCTGATCTAGGTAATCGATGTCATCTAGGAAGCCCTGGAGCTGGAGAGCGACCACCCGCTCCAGCACCTTACCCAAAAAAGGGAGGTTGGAGATCGGCCTGTAATTGTTCAGCACCGTGGAGTCAAGGGAAGACTTCTTGAGGAGTGGGCGAACCACAGCCTGCTTTAAGTTAGATGGAAAAGTCCCTTGCTCCAACGATGCGTTAATGATCAACACAAACCAATCAACCAACCCCTCCCTGGCAGCTTTTATAAGCCAAGATGGGCAAGGGTCTAGGGCCGAAGTGGTCGCCCTCACAGCCCCAAGGACCTCCTCCACAGTCTCAGGAAGGACAAGCCGAAAAGAATCCCACAAGATAGAACAAACAGGTGCCTCAGTCACCTCCCCTGGCACTGCGATGGAATTGGAGTCGAGCTCAAGATGTATCTGGGCAACTTTGCCTGCAAAGTGG